CAACTCAAACCATTCTATGATTCTATGAATTACATGGTTTTACCCTCCTAAGGCTGAACTCTGGGAGACCAAAAAAAGCTTCCAGATCCCAAATGCTATTATACTCTGGTGAAACATTGTTTTTGGAGCTTTGTAGTGCAAGGATGCTGAGAAACCACTGAATTCCTTTTTTGCCATGTCTACGCGCAGCACACAGGTATCTAGAGATGCTCCAGTACAAACGTGACTGGCTTCTGCTTTAACAATCCCAGTTCTAACTGAGTTTGCAGCCAGCTGAAATTCTGTTTGGGAAAGCCAGTTTCCACCACACTTCTGTAGTCATAAGCCCCATCATGCTCTGACCTAGCGAGAGCAGCCTGTAGTTCTTCCTCTTTCTTGGCCAGCTGGATCTTCAGCTCTTCAATCTGGGCTTGCAGCTCAGCTATTTGGTCCTGTAGGTCTGTTGTTTCACCATCAAGTTTTCTTTTAGCTTTTTCTAATTCTTGACGGGTCTTCTCCTCCTTTTTTAAGCGCTCTAAGGAAGCAAAGAATTGTATTTATAAGCAATTTTTCCCCTTGTCATCCTGAGAAGGTTCACGGGCAGGGCACTGGGGTAGAAAGGAGGGTGGAAAGTTTAATATATGCTGGTCAGTTGTTTCTCCAGGCTGCAGCTGGAAGGGTAACTGGGAAAGATGAAACAGCAAAGTAGAACTGTATGACTTAGATAGAAAGTAAGAGAAAGTCAATAACTGGAGAAAAAAAAATTGAAGTATGGGAACAGAAACTTAACCTCATCATGATAGAAATAAAGAATGGAATCTAGCAGGAAAGCAGTTTGAGCTGCTAGGCCAGGTGGGCACAGACATCAGGATTCAAAAATTAAGAACAACTACAAACCAGAAAAAATGATGGATTGCATAGTTTTGGAAAGGCTAGGCTAGACTCCAAAAGTCAACTGAAAAATAGTGCAGCTTAAAAAAAACTTGGATAAACAATTTTTGCAAGTATCTGTGCCACTAACTCACATCCCATTGATATTTAGCAAGATTATGCAACCCTGATAGCTTCCAGTAATTTATTTGTGTAGCCAAGATACTCCTGCCCTAAGGTATTTCTTTTGTGAAAACCAGCCAGCTATCAGTGCACAGAAATGAAAGACATTTAGGTGATCTGCCTGCTGTCTGATTAAGCTCGTTACTGGCTGCATCATTTACAGTTAGGCAATACCAGGTGTGCAATATATTTAAGGCACAGGAGGCTTCACTTTGCATAGCATTAGCACAATTCTGCACACATTGGCATAAACCTGAGTTATTAGACTTGTTCAATACTTTGTGGGTCCTCAGTACAGAGATTTCTCTCACACCCTTCCTAAGGCTGCTACTGGATCAGGACATCATCTTCTACATGGAAAAGGAGTCACGATCAAGAATCACCTCTTAGAGACACCCAGGGATATTTGTGATTTCCCAGACAATCTAAAGTAACACTGCTTTCCTCTAAGCAGTTCCTCATTCAAGAGAAAAAAATCCAACCAGCCAAACAAAACAAAACAAAAAAAACCCCTAATGGCTTATTGAATCATCTCAAAGAGTAAATATAATTTTAATGTGCTTTACTAGCCAAGAAATTGCATGCCCTATATTTAAGCTTTAATTTCCATTTCTAAGGTCATCAGGTTTGGAATGGTACCATAATCAAACACATCTGTCAAGTACCTTCAGAAACACTAGTCCTGATTTAAGCACACAACTACTCAAGCACTTTTTTTCCAGTGAGTAAAGCTCACTTATGCCCATCTTAAGATCTCTGAATATGATTTTTAAAGAAGTACATCATTCATCTACTATGTCTATTAGTTCAGTAACTTCCTACAGAGATAAGATTAAACTTTGGTATTCTTCCATAAGCACATTAGTTTTAAAATATGCAGCAAGGCAAGCTATAATACAGTAAGTAAAAAAACTATGTCCAAACTAGGGCATAGAGAGCAACTTTGCCTTATATTTTGCAACTTTCACTTGGCAGTTTATTAATGTTGCACAATGGCTATTTACAGCCATAAGTAATTTTAAAAACCCCATAAAATCAAGAAAGGTTACATATAGGGCTAGTTGAGCCTGTGACAACACAGGCAAAACAATCAGAAATAGATGGCCAAAGACACTGAACCACTTTACATACACAAAGCATTAAGAAAAGCAAAACAATTCAGATTCACTTCTTCAAAAATATGAGAATGCCTACTAACATTCTGCCAGAAATACGTCATTCTAATGTGTTATTATAGGAAAGGGTAGCAACTTCCCAAGAGAGATGTTTTACCTTGTTACTAAGGGATGCGTGCAACAACATGAGTTTCTGAGTGTGTCTATAAATGAAATGGATTCTCAAAAATGAAAAAAAACCAAACAAGTGAAACATGAGAAAGACTGAGCAGTTAAATACAACAAGTCTTGCAAGCAGCACTAGTTTGTTTCAAGATTTAGATAAAAATAACAGCTATTAAGGTGTCTACACATAAGGTGTAGATACTGCATACGTTGTAACAAGTGATTTATTCCTTTCCAGTAGGATGTACAAGCTGTTAATAGGCAGAGGTGATAAGAACAAACCTTCCAAATCTGTGATCATCATTTCCTGCTTGTTCTTGAGTTTGGCCAAGTTTTTCGCCTTTTCTTCTTCTTCAGCCAGCTGAGAAGTACATTCAGCAATTCGATCCTCCATCAGCTTCTTTTCCTAGTTAGGAGAAAGGAGACAAAGAATAACTTGTAAAATATAATTTTAAGAGTCTACACAGCACAAATAACTGAATATACAAAATCCATATAGAGGACTCATGCAGCATATATAATACAGATTTTACTTCACATGACTGACCTGTCAGTATTAAGGATCAATTGGAATAGTATAGAAACATGAATATTTGTTTTCTACAAAAGTGAGACTTGGAATTTAACACATGGGAGGCCTGGTTTTAGGACAGCATTTGCTGTACACTTTTGGAAATCAGTTTGCAAAGAACAACAGTAGCTATGGTAAACACTTGTTTCCAGCTCTTAGATTTGGAAGACTCATGAAACTGGAAAGAATGCATGGCAAATACCTCCCTTTTAAAAGGCCAATTTTAAAGAAGCTGTGAGTGTCTCAGCTTCAACCTATTTAAATCCCACAAGACTTCAAGCACAAAGTCTGTAGATAACGTAACAGCAGCCACAAGTGTTTGGAGAACTGTCACTTGGTACTACGAGTACTTATGTGCAGAATCTCCACCACAAATCCTGGCCTCACCTTCAAAAATTTGGAATTTTGGTCCTCCAACAGTAGGATCTCTTCCTCCATCTTCTTGATCTTTGCTTCAGCTGTCACTTTTTCAAGCTGCAACTTCTGTCGAGCTCCCTCCTCCTCATCGAGCTGTTCCTCCAGGTCCTGGCAAGAAAGATAATTACATCTGTGCATTTTCTAGGTTACCACTGGGTTAATTTTTTTTTAATTGGTGAAAAAAATGCATTATTTTGTAAAGCCATCTGCCTTAACTAACACTAAAAATGCATTTGCTTTCTGTTAGATTCATTTATATCAGTGATCTGGTAATGAAATTAAGGGCCATGTGATATATAGGGAAATTTTTATACTCTATTTCAGCTTTGGCTGAAATATGCTATCTAGGAAACATATACTTATTTCACCAGAGTCTTTCACCTTCTTAATCTGAACATAAAATTAAAAAAAAAAGTTTACTTAATGACAACCAAGTCACATCAGGCTTTATGTCAAATACTTCCTAGCATTCTGCATCTGAATAGAGCTCCGGGTGTAAAAGCACAAGCGTCTGGGAAAAGATGCCACAGGACAGACACAGATCTCCTGATTTCAGTATGAATCCAAGTCTCAATATTACAGCTGAAATGGTTCAGATACTGGCACAAATAGCTAGCTCTGACTAGAAAAGTAATAGTGTATTGTACTTCAATTCATTCACAGTTTTAAATAGGATTCTCAGCCACACATTAATGGACACTTATTAAAAGGCATCAAGAGCTCTGAAATGTGGTGCTTCCTTCCGCTGAATATTCTGAAAGACACCTAAGTTCTGAAGTATTATCTTTATCAAAGTCTCCATGTATTCAAAAGGAAGCATCTAAGTCATCTGATTTTCACAAAAAAACCCCAAGTAACTTGGAGGAGATGAAGCTGTCTGAAGTTTTGTAAAACTCAAAGAAATAATTTTCTTCATGCTATTCACTAGATTTCAGTCAAAAAGTAACATTTCTCTCAGAAGTGACGGCATTCCATCAGTCTTTGTTTCTGTGAGAAAGCAGGTAAGCCCTGTGCAGTCAGCTCCTCTCCCCTCAGAAGTGCTTGCTGCCTTTCACACACACTCTGCACACACTATAGCTACCGACAGGGCATTTTGACTTTTCTTTTTCTTTCCTCACCCTCCTATGCCTGGAGACCACAAGAAGCTAAACACACTGAACACAGGAAAAAAAGAGAAAAACAATTCAAATTTATTTTATTCCACACACAGTGCTAAAGAGCTAAATTCCTCTGTGCCACAGAGATGCTGAGGGAACTTTCCCACCCTTAACTGTCCTGTTTGCATGCTGTTCCATTTCCAGTCACCAAGAAGCATACCTGAATATGGCCCTGCATTTTCTTTTTCTCATTCTGCAATATTTGGTTTCTTTCCTCTTCCTCCTCAACCCTGGACTCCAAATCATGGAGAATTTCTTCCAACTCTTGTTTTTTGGCAGCCAAGCGAGCCCTCATCTCCTCAGCTTCTGCAAAGAGCTCTGTCTCAGCCTGTAGCTGCTCTGCAAGAATGTTCTTCTCTTCTAGAAGCTGCAAATATACACAAAAAGTAGTAAAGCAGTCAAAATAACATTTCAAAGTGCCTCATGAGAGATTACACATATGACAACTACAAAGTTACTCAAAGGCCAAGTTGTGCTCCAGCTCTCGACTCCTTGGTCAATATCCAAAACCAAAGACTTTTAGCAGAGGGCTTTATCAGCGGTCCAGAGGACACCAGCTTTCTCAGAATCACAGAATGTTGGGGATTGGAAGGGACTTCGAAAGATCATCCAGTCCAATCCCCTGCCAGAGCAGGAACCTCAATGAGATCACACAGGAAGGTGTCCAGGCAGGTTTGGAATGTCTCCAGAGAAGGAGACTCCACACCCTCCCTGGGCAGCCTGTCCCAGGGCTCTGTCACCCTCACTGGAAAGAAGTTTCTTCTCAAGTTTAAGCAGAACCTCCTGTGTTCCAGCTCACACCCATTGCCCCTTGTCCTACCATTGGGCATCACTGAGAAGAGCCTGGCTCCGTCCTCCTGACACTCACCCTTTACATATTTATAAACATTAATGAGGTCACCCCTCAGTCTCCTCTTCTCCAAGCTAAAGAGCCCCAGCTCCCTCAGCCTTTCCTCATCAGGGAGATAATCCACTCCCTTCATCACCTTGGTGGCTCTGTGCTGGACTTTCATAATAGGGCTCCAGCAATATTCACTCACTTGTCCAGTTTAAGGACCAGATCCCACTGTGCCTACCCCATGCGCCCTGTTCTACCAGCAGCAAAAAGATGGGGAAGTGCCCGTTTCCTGGACTGTTCCTCGCACTCATCCCTGCATAGGGCAGGGCAGTGCCATGGGCAGCTGGGCTGAAGCTGGCACTTGGAGTCACTGGAACAGAACACATTACTTCTTGCTGAGTAAACCTGACAATAGACTAGAACAGTCTCAGCTGGGAGCGACCTACAACAGTAATCTAGTCCAACTGCCTGACCCTTCAGGACTGACCAAAAGTTAAAGCATATTATTACAGGTATTGTCCAAATGGCTTTTAATGGGGCACTGACCACCTCTCTAGGAAGCCTGTTCCAGTGTTTGACCATCCTCTTGCTAAAGAAATGTTTCCCAATACCTAGTCTGAACCTCTCCTGCTGCAGCTTTGAGCCATTCCCATGTCTCCTGTCACGGGATCACAGGGAGAAGAGATCAGCACCTCCCTCTCCAATTCCTCTCCTCAGGAGGCTGTAGAGAGCAGTGAGGTCTCCCCTCAGTCTCCTCTTCTCCAAATTTAAGACAAGCCCAGTGTCCTTAGACACTCCTCATAGACCATGCCTTCCAGCCCTTTCATCAATAGGAACTGATGCTGTGCCATTCTAGATAGCCATCCCGGTGCTATGGTGTCTCAGAACTACCACAGTGATAAATACATGTCTATATTTACTGACACCCTTTCAGCTGTTCTTTAAATTGGTATCAATGTTACTTATCAGCAGAAATTCATTTTCAGTTTTGCCCAACAATTATCATAATTGCTTCCCCATGTCTTTAACAGCACATGTAGACCACAGAAGTATCCTACCCTGAAAACTGATCTGAAAAGGAAAATGACGTTGCTACTGAAATTCTCTTGTAAAGTCAGAAAGGCCAAAGAAAAATAAAAAAGTTTATTTTCATTAACGTGATGTTTTCTGCATTCTGGGAGGAATAGTTCCTGCTGTATCTTCCTATTCCAGATTTTATCAGTGTGCAAGGAGTTAGCTCTCCTAACTCCCAGTGCTTTTGCTCACAAGCATCTCCATGGCTCCCTCACACAGGACACAGTGCAATAGACATTCCACATATGAAAGGCTGATCCTGGGCACAAACCTGTTGATGTTTCCTTTCCATTTCCTCAAGTTCTGCCTCCACTTTTGTCTGTTTCTCTTTCACCTTCATCAGCTCCTCGTCCTTGGCTTGAAGTTCTTCTTCTTGGCGAGTGACCTGAAGAAGAGGCTTCACCTGCAAAGATTTGAAATGAACAAGTAAGAACCTGCATCTACCTGTTTACAACAGTCAAACAAATGGAGAGACTGTAACAAACCTTCGTGAAGACTCTCCACCACTGCCAGTGCCTAAGCTTCAAATACGCGGCGCAGTTCCTCTGCAGGATTTTCAGTGCACTCAGTTGCTGTTGCTTCTTTGCAAAAGCCCTGAAGACAGAACGGGCAAAATATTTCAGGTTAAATACAGCTGAGCATCTCTCTGTGGTTTTACTTTTTAGGTTACCCAAACCTAGAATACTCACAGACCATAAACAGGCTGATTTTTAAGTTTCAGTGACTACACTGATTTATGAGTACTCATTCCTTATGGGAAGAGGCAGAGCAAAAGCTGAATTCATCATTTTCAAAGCAATAATTACAAATGGTATTTGTTCTTACTCTTAACAGGGATTTTTATGAAACTGATAAAATCAGGATGGATTAGATGCTGAATTGACCTTCAATTTCAAAAAAAGCAGCTTTCCAAAGTACGTCTAAGAACTTCCAGTGGAGCAGAAAGATTTTTCTGCAGCCAACCACTAGCTGTAGCATAAACAGCTGCATGTGTCACAGAGAAGATTAAGGAAAGGAGATATTGCTATGGAATGAAGGTACAAAAATGTACAAATTCTTGTTATTAGGTAAAAATTAACAACTTTACCCTGGACACAGCTACAGTATATCAGGCAACACACTTTCTTAAGAAAATCTCTCCTGAAATTGAATTTTAATGCATAGCTCCTATCAAAGAGACTTAAGATGACCACAAGGAAAAATCAAACCATAAGAGCACACATACTTCCTAGCCAGGTATCCTCTACAGACTGCCTGGAAGAAGATGATAATGTCTGTGATCTTCAGATCTCGTTCTTCTTCTAAGTGTGCCAAGACACCAGCTCGGAAAAAGATCTTGCTCTGTCCAATTCTGTATAAGTTGGGGTCCAGCTCTAATGCTCTGATCTAAATGGACAAGCAAGCATTGTTTTTACATCAAAGAAAGGACAATTTTTGCTTCAACTTTTCAATGTTTTAACAATATACAGGTGTAAACACTTACCATACGCTCACAGGCTTGCTTACCATCCATAAAACCTTTTGGAATTGCATTGGGTGTAAGGATCTCATACCTTTAAGTCAAATGAAAAAACACTTTTATATTCAACAATAAGGTACATTATTATAAGCCATAAAGTTATAGTCAAACACTCAGCTAAGGAATTTCTCCAGAAGGTTTTTCCAGAAGACCATTTTAGTTTGGTTTGACCTGCCCCAGTGTCTTTCCAATAGATGTGTAACATTTAACTGCTTCAAGTTCAAGTCACTTCAAGACCTCACACATGGCTTTAGATTTTTTTCCAGTTGTGTTGGGGGTGAAAGTGGGGGCGTGAAGTGTCTTCAATTATTTAACAAGGAACTTTATCTCATAAATACTCAAAAGACTGTTCCTGCTCTTACCTCTGTCTAAATTCCTGGAACACTATCCTATTTGGAAATCCTTGTCGACAAATCCTTATTCCTTCCAAAACACCATTGCAACGAAGCTGATCTAGAACCAGATGTGGATCCAATTTTCCAGCCTGGAGAAACAAAACAAGCATGATTTTTAGACTTTTAATTTGTATTAATGAAAAAACTGCAGTTTACGTTTTTCAGGCTACCCTCTACAAAGTCAACTGTCTAAACAAAAGGATG